TACGTTACTACTTACTACTACTACTACTACTCTCTCTCTCTCTCTCTCTCTCTCTCTCTCTCTCTCTCTCTCTCTCTCTCTCTCTCTCTCTCTCTCTCTCTCTCTCTCTCTCTGTCTCTCTATAAATTAAGAAATCTTTTAATTTAACAAGTTTTACAAATTGATATCAGATATTAATTTTTTAATATATTTTTATATAGCAATCTTTTTTATAAGGCATAAAACGAAAGTTAAATTAAAACGATAAAATATCAAATCAAGTGCATTAAAATACTCATTAATAGTAATGATATCTAGATTTTTATTACAGTGGTGCGAAACGCAAAAAGATTGTAATCGATTGAAACTTATGGATATACTAGTAATGCCGATGCAGAGGCTTACCAGATACTCTCTTCTCCTCAAAGCCATTTACAAGAATACGGAAAACGAGGATCAACGCGCGGAATTAATACTCATGGTATCAAAATGCGCTTTATTCTTTTCACATATATAATATACGTAAAAGAAATACACAAAGCTAAGGAATAGCACGTTTATGATGAGCTTAGCTTGTAAAATGAAAACTAAATTAGATTTTACGAATTACGAATTTTACTTATTCTTACTTGAAAATTCTTTATAAATAAAAATCATATAAGAGAAACGCGAAAATCGATTATGTATATTTAATTTAATTTTTTTCTCTTTAGATCAAGTCTGTGGACGGTTTTGTGGCGTCCGTGAACGCAGCATTGAGAAGAAATGATGAGGCTGCTCAGCTGGATCATGCAGCCTCTCGTTTAGAGTGTTATGACGTCATAGATACCAAAGGACTCGACGAGGAAGTGGAGAAACTGATAAAGTTGTACAGCAATCTCGATATTACAACGGCACCGATGCCCGGATGTCCGAAAGATAGTTTAAGGACTCTTCTTCGGGAAGGGGACTTGAAGCTGAGAGACGCTGCTACTAGTAAGGTAGGTCAATAATAAAATGTTAACTTTATCCATTTAGAAATTGCTTTTGTATCATAAATTCATACACTGAGAAAAAAAAAATGTTGTTGAATTAATACAAAATATTTTGATTCAATTAAACATCGATATCATGGGCTGTTACTAACATAAGTAATTCATATATATTTGTTATTAGTTTTAATTTTAACTGTTTTATTTGCAAGAATAACGAATCATTTTAATTTAATGACATATAATTGTAGAATCGAACGAGTTCACAGAGTGAACTTCGATTGAGATTATGCTTAGGGTGTCGTCACGTCATGGAGCAGATCGCGGATCGCGCGTATCGAAAATTTGACCAATCGCGAACTTTCCGTTATTTTCGGTACGCGAAAGTTTCATTCCTATAGTTCCATGACGCGAATTCGCGTAAGCAAATCAGGCGGATAACCAATCATAAACGATTTTTATTATTTCCTTTCATCTAAACAGTTTTGTGATTGATAAACTGCCGATTTGTTTACGCTCATTCCGCTTCATGGGATCATAGGAACGAAACTCTCGCGCATCGAAAACAGCGAAAAATTTGCGATAGAAACGAAACTTCTGCGCAGTCATTTCTGTATTTTTGACAGAATTGCTAAAGAGAATTGCGTAAGCATCAAATTTTTTTATATTTTTTATAAAATATTTTTTTTGTAAGAAAGAAATAATTAATAAAATATTCAATTTAGTTAAAGATTAAAGAGAAACAGAAAATAAATATACAAGATTACAAGATTATAAAATAATAGCACATATTTATGTGATATTTTGATCGTTATAAATCTTATTGAGATTTCCTTTTAATATTATAAATATGTAATGATGAACTCGGACGAATTATAAATTTACTTTACTTTACTTCAATTATAAATTTATTTCTTATTCGTTTATTTGTTACATTTGTTTATAGCATCAATTATTTTAGAATAAATATTATACACGCGGTATTACAGTGACGTTACGCATACAATCATTTGTCTAATATCAGTGAGCACATGAAATGCGCGCTCACTAACATTGCGGACAAGTTTTCATTTAACTGCAATCTATTGACTAGTTTTAAGTACTTATTACTATAATCAAAAAGTAAGATGACTTTTTAAATAAAACACAAAGTATTTATTTATTCATCCAAATTTATTTTGTCTCCTTCAAAGTAATTCCCTCCTATTGCAATATACTTATTCCAACGTTTTTTCGAGTCTTCGAAACAATTTTTATACTCGACTTCTGGTATTTCCTTCAAAGCGGCCAGCGAACTCTCTTGAATGGTTTCTATGGACTCAAAACGCCGTCTATGAAGTGGTTTTTTCAATCGAGAAAACAAGAAAAAGTCACATGATGTCACATCTGGTGAATATGGTGTTTGCAGAACGGTATTTGTTTAATTTTTAGCGAAAAATTGATGAATAATTATTACCGTGTGCGATGGTGCGTTATCGTGATGCCTAAATTGTTCTTCAAAATTGAACTGATCCAAATAATATTCCAGTAATGTCTACAATGTCTGTAATACTTAATCGGCGATTACTCAGTACAAGATCCTTGATTTTGGTAATGTTTTCTTCATTGGTTGACGTGGAAGGTCTTCCTGAACGAAGTTCATCTTCAACTGCTTCTCTACCACTAAAGTCTTTGTACCACATGTAAACATTTTTTTTTACATAGTTTCATTGTTGTAACATTTTCTTAATATTTTTAATGCATCAGCACAAGAAATTTCATTTTTAGACAAAATTTAATGCAAATTTCTTC